CGCCCCACACGCCCCACACTGCCCCTGTGCCCCGCCCCTCTCCCCCACACTGCCCCCGTCCCCCCCCCCCCCCCCCCACCCTGTCCCTGTGCCCCGCCCCCCTCTCCCTCTCCCTCTCCCTCTCCCTCAGTGACTCTGTCCGGCAGTGACGGCCCGTTGCTATGGGGAAGACGGCTCCTGTTCGCCCTCAACACGGCGGCGGCGGCTGGTGCGGGTCCGGGCCGGGCCGGGCCTGGAGATCTCTCCGCTCTGTCTGTCTCTCCCGGTCCCCGGAGGATCAGGCCCGGTACCCTGTGAGCGGAGCGGAGCCCGGGAGACCGCTCAGCCCGTCAGCCGGTGCCTGACCTGAACATGGTGGAGGGAGTCGGCTGTCCGGCCCAGGGCTCCGTGAGGCGGTGTCAGGATGTGGAGAGATCGGCCGGTTTCATCGGTGTATCCCTTTGTTATAGGTTTGGGAATGAGAGAGGGAATATTGTAATCACTTAATTACTGCTCTTTAATAACAACAATCCGCGGCAATATGTTAATCTACGTTATTTATATGTTTTAACCCACAGTTTACTGGTGAAATTGCTATTAGTTTGTGAGAATTACATTAAGATTAGTCAATGCTAAGAGTAACTTCATCTGCACCTGTAGACACCTTCATCAGATATCCCCTCGACTTCCTCAGTTTCAAGTCGAACCTCAGTTTCTACAACCTAACCTTGTTAAATTCCCTCATCCTGGAACCATCCTGGTAAATCTTCTTCACTCTCTCTTGAGGACTCTCACATTCTTCCTAAAGCCTGATGACCAGAACTGGACACTGTTGCCTAACCAGAGTTTTATTGAAGTTCAGCATAACTTCCTCTGTTTTAGACTTAATGCCAGAGTTTATGAAGCCCGAGATCCTGTATGTATTTTGTCTGTAGCAGGGTTTTTTGCCTGATGTGGCATAACGTAAGAAATGAGTTAATGAGTAACATAGTATTGAAACATTTTATAACTAATATATACAGATATTAACATTTACAGGCACATGTGTCTGGGTAAATGTTGTTATTCGAATAGCATGCTTTGATCAATGTATCATGCTTCAGGTTAAGATGAAGTCTGAAACCATTGTTACATGTAGTAATCATATGATCATGTCTTTTAAAGACACACTGACATTACTATATTTCTCAAAGGTATACTAACATTCATAACTGTGAGACTAGACACTCACACTTTGCTAACTACTTCTCCACATATTCTGCCAGCTTCAATGATTTATGCTATAAACCCCAAAAAGTTGCTCAGTCCTTTGCGCATAGAAGTTGGGAAGTGGTGTTGAGGTTGTACAGGACATTAGTGAGACCTCTTTTGGAATACTGTGTCCAGTTCTGGTCACCCAGTTGTAGGAAGGATATTATTAAGCTGGAGAGAGTTCAGAAGAGATTTACCAGGATGGTGCCAGGTATAGAAGGGTTGAGTTATAAAGAAAGGCTGGATAGGCTGGGACTTGTTTCACTGGAGTGTAGGATGTTGAGAGGCAACTGATAAAGTTTATAAAATCATGACGGGTATAGGTACAGTCAAATTAGTTGTCCTCCCCTTAGGATGGGGAATTTCAAGATTAGGGGGTCTATTTTTAAGGTGAGAGGAGAGAGATTTAAAAAAGACATGAGAGGCAAATGTTTTTACACAGAGGGCGTGGAATGAACCTCCAGAGGAAGTGGTGGATATGGGTATAATTACAATGTTTAAAATACATTTGGATAGGTACATAAATAGGAAATGTTTGGAGGGATATGGACCAGGAGCAGGCAGGTAGGACTAGTTTAGTTTGGGATTATGTGCGCCATGGACTGGCTGGACTGAAGGGTCTGCTTCCGTGCTGCATGACTCTATGACTCTATGACTCTATAAATACCTACAAATTGTGGCAAAAGGAGCACTAACACTAAGGCTTGAGACAGGACCTCCTGGACATTTCCAGGATATGTCATTGACCCCAGGACCTGATACCAGAGTATCTAGCTATTGTAATATTGGACAGAATCAGTGACCCCTGGCTGGAGACAATGCCGCCTGGAAATTATAGCTAAGGGTCATTATAGCATTGGAATCAGGAGCCATTAGACATTGCAGTTAAAGGGCCACTCATCAGAGACACAGTAACACTTTTAGTAAAAGCTGTGGGTGAACTGCAAACTGCTTTCCAGTTTTCATTTTTTTAGGTATTGATTCCAAATTTTGCTCTCATGAAATTGACTCCCAATGTTTCTAAGGAAACCAATGTAGGCAGTATTTAATTTAAATGACGCAATAAAATGATTGACTTTTGTAGCTTAAAGGATTTGTTTTGACGATTTTCTTTCCAATTCTCATTGGCCTTTTGTGTCAGTTGTATTCTTTTGTTTCTCACTGCAAATGAGAATTGTCTTGAATGAAGTATGTGGAAGGAGGATTAATGTAGGACAGCAGAGCAGGGAAGGCTATATAAGAAATGTTATGCAATTCATCACCAGTCCTCATCAGACCTGTGTCTACAGGTAAACATAAAAGATCTTGGAAGCTTTTAACCAAGAGAGCTGTGTAAACTCAATCATTGAACAGGTTCAAGACAGAAATCAATAGATTTCTGGAGACGAATGACATTTAAGGGATATTGAAAATGGCATTGAGGTAGATGACCAGCCATGATATCATTGAATGGTGAAGCCACCTCAATTGACTGAGTGACCTACTCCTGTTCCTTCCTGTTATCAATTATTTTCAAGACTCTTTGGATTGACTCACATCCTTTAGGGAAAGAAATCTGCTTCCTCACCCAGTGTGGCCTATCTATGTCTCCAGACCCACAGGCATGCGGTTTACTGTGAAATGCCTTTGGAAATAGCCTAGGAAGTTAGGGATGGGCAACAACAGCGGGCCATACCAATGATGCCTATATCCCATGAAAGAATAAATGCGGTTGGGTGGAATTTACTCAGCCCTTGAAGAGTTAGGCAATGGTGAGAAGTATCAGAAAAAGTGGTGAGATTGGAATAAATTGGAATTTCATTGTTGAAAAAATGTTTCCGTTTTCCCCTTATAGTTTCAGCAGCAAGTTCTGAATCTTGCTAATAGGTGGCAGGTACTTTATTTCCATACATTTAGACCTCAGTATTAGCATTATTATTCTCTATAGCTTGCAACTCTCCCCTCCTATCTCAAGAAAACTAGACAGTGGTTATTCCTGATTTGAAGTTAAGGCAGTTCCCTGGCCGATCCAATTCACCGCTTTGTCTGGCCTCCATTTTCCTTCACCAACATGTCCTTGAATACCCTATCGTCCTCCACCCTCCATCCACTGAAGTTGGCATTGGGAAATCAGTAGCCTTGTCATATTTTTCTGGCTGATCTTGGACCCTTCAAAATCCACCTCAGGATTTCACTTTAGAACTCAGGGACATCTTTGACTTGCCTACTCCAACCTAGTTGCTTTGTGTACAGGGACTCACACACGGACAGCCATGTAGTGCAGCTTCACGAGGATGATCTTATGGCATTTCGATTAATTTCTTAGTACTCACTCACTTTCCTCTTACTTGGAGACTGCCAATCCATGTGGACTTCATTGCTATTTTGCCACAGGGCAGGATGAATTCGCAGTGGTGAAGGATGAGATGAGTGAGAGCCATTGGGTGAAGATGCTGCATGCAGTAGTCCATGAGCATTGGAGAGGATTGTGTGCAGAGGAAAATGGTGGCACTTTCCGTTGTGGAATGCAGAAGATCCTTTTCTGCCCTGCTGTACATACTGTCTGGGCCTGGAAACAGCACTGACCTGGGCCCACTTTTAATGACAAGACAACTGTGTTTGGTGCATTAGCCTACCCCACCCCCACCCCACTCTGATGGCCCTTCCTTTGACCACTCTGTCCACTAGGATCTCCAGGTCCCTATCTGGAAAGCAGGGTGGCAACTTCTCTTACTGAAAGTTTCCTAAGAGGACAGCATGCAAGGTAGCTTCTGGATTGAGGCATCTGAAATGTTGTGCCCCAGGCTTTAATTAAAACACTGGCGCTTGTACACCTGAGGATCCTGAAAGTGACGGGATCTTTAGGGAATAATCACGATGGGACATTAACCATGAAACCCCCTCCAAACGTAACACAGACTGGAAATGGGAAAACCCAGTGTATAGAGACAGTAATGGTCTGCTGAAGCCAAAAATGCGACTCTACTTCCTCCAAGACTTACTGCAGTGCTGACATCTAGGAATGATGCTGTCAAGAGGCTTGGATGGTAACTGTCCTCAAATTTCAATATACAGCACTATCTTTTCATAACCAACACCAAACAGGACACAGGTATTGGGTTACTCTGTCAATTGCCTGCAGACTAATACTTGAACCTTCGTTTTACTTGGCACTTGTCCTTTCCATCCTCTTTCCCTGCAAACTTTGAGTTAAACATTTTCTCCAAATCTTACCTAAGGCTAGAAGACAGTTCCTTTTAAATTCATTGTATGTGCTCCCAGCTCGTTGTCAGATCCAGATTGAACCCCCTCTGTGTATAATTAAGAAAATTGGAGAATAAAAAGTATATTTCAATTTGACCCGCAAAGGTGATAGGAAAATAGACATAGGGAAAAACAGGGTTCCAATTATGACTTATAGAAGCATGTTCAATACCGTAGTCAAATATATCACTTAGGATGGGTCAGTTTTGACAAATACACATTGGCTGTTATTTTTGTTTTATTCTTAACTCCCACTTCTGGTAGAAATATAAAAACACAGCTGGAAGGACTGGATGAAGAACGACAAAGGTTATCAGAGGAACAAAAAACAAACCGAGCTAAAGTTCGTAAGCTTACTTTGCAGACAATCCGAAGACGAAAGTAAGTACAGTATAAAGAATCAACAGCTACAAGATGGATGACATTTAATCTTCAGGAATAAAGCCACTTGGGGTTTTATGTTTTTTGCAGATAAATAGCATTTGTTGAATTTTGTTTGATTTTGTCAAATGCATTTTCCTTTATGTATTACATACTGCTTCCTGGCCAACATGACATGGGCAGAAACCCTTGCAAACGTCTGTGAATCCTACTAAGTTTTCCTCCATCACTTGTTCCAAATGCCATTTCCACCTGCATTACTACGTTCCGGAAACAAAAACAGAAATTACTAGAAAATCTCAGCAGGTCTGGCAGCATCTTTGGAGAGAAATCAGTTAACTTTTCCGGTCCAGTGACTCTTCATCATGACTGTCAGCTCTACTTCACATCACCACATGTGCAGCCAACCTCTTTTTAATTTGGTTTCATCCGTTTCTCCTTCTGTTCCATTATTCCACTATTCCATGATTGAGTTTTTTGAATAAGTGAGGAAGAGGATTGATGACGACAGAGTGGTGGAAGCTTCCTCCTGGGAAACTGGTTAGCAAGGTTAGATCACATGGGTAAATGGGGAGAACTAGTCATTTCGATACAGAACTGGCACGAAGGTAGAAGACAGAGGGTGGTGGTGAAGGATTGATTTTCAACTGGAGGCCTGTGACCAGCGGTGTGCCACAAGGATCGGTGCTGGGTCCATGGTTTTTCGTCAGTTTTATGAATGATTTGGATGTGAACATAGGAGGTGTGGTTAGTAAGTTTGCTGATGACACCAAAATTGGAGGTGTAGTGGACTTGAAGAAGGTTAAGAGTGCAACAGGATCTTGATCAGATTGGCCAGTGGGCCAAGGAGTGGCAGATGGAGTTTAATTTAGATAAATGTGAGGTGCTACATTTTGGAAAGGCAAATCAGGGCAGGACTTATACACTTAGTGGTAAGGTCCTGGGAAGTGTTGCTGAACAAAGAGACCTTGGAGTGCAGGTTCATAGTTCTTTGAAAGTGGAGTTGCAGGTAGACAAGATAGTGCAGGCAGCGTTTGGTATGCTTGCTTTTAGTGGTCAGTGCATTGACTGTAGGAGTTGAGAGGTCATGTTGTGGCTATACAGGACAATGGTTAGGCCACTTTTGGAACACTGTGTGCAATTCTGGTCTCCCTAATGTTGCGAAACTTGAAAGGGTTCAGAAAAGATTTACAAGTATGTTGCCAGGGTTGGAGGGTTTGAGCTATAGGGAGAGGCTGAATAGGCTGGGGCTATTTTCCCTACAGTGCCGGAGGCTGAGGGGAACCTTATAGAAATTTATAAAATCATGAGGGGTGTAGATAGGGTAAATAGACAAGGTTTTTTTTTCCCTGGGGGAGTCCAAAACTAGAGGGCATAGGTTTAAGAGGGGAAGGATCTAAAAGGGACCTAAGGGGCAACATTTCCACGCAGAGGATGGTTCGTGTATGGAATGAGCTGCCAGAGGAAGTGCTGAAGGCTGGTACAATTACAACATTTAAAAGGCATCTGGATAGGTATATGAATAAGAAGGGTTTACAGGGAAATGGGCCAAATGCTGGCAAATGGAACTAGATTAATTTAGGATATCCAGTCGGCGCGGACAAGTTGGACCATAGGGTCTGTTTCCATGCTTTACAGGTCTATGGCTCTATTTGCAGATAGTCATCTAATTGCTAGTTGTATCCTTTAGATCTCTTTACCTGTTACCAGTGCAGACAAGATGTGTTGAGTGACTTTCTTCTGCACAGTAACAATTCTGTGGATTACCCTATTGCTTGTACGTTGCTCCTTGCTTTTGTAAACTTCTGAACTGTTAACATCTAGTTGAAGAGTGGTGAATTGGCTGTCCTCTTTTACCCCCCTCAAACAGTCGCAATAAATATGTTTAATTCTTTTTAACGCACAGCTACATCACGTTTCATTAAGTGTAGTATTATTCAAAATTAAGGAGTCAATTACAAGGTTGTCTTGAATGAAAGAAGGAGGAATCTTATTTACTTACCCCAAGAAAAATTAATAAAATGCAACAGCAAATATAGGTATAGACAGAATGTATATTCCAAAAAGGAAGATTGAGAATCAGCAGTTTAAAAAGCTCTTAGAGTCCTTGAGTTGTTATAGTTGAAGCTGAGACCACAGCTGTTCAGCTGATGCCTTGTATCCGAACACTGTCAACGTTTATAGAATACTTGAATGGGGTTCTTCACACCTGACTGAGGTTCAGTTCTTTTGATAAAACATTAATTTCAGCTGAGGCTGTCTTTATTTTACAGCCATGCCTGTTGCCATCACATGCACGCCCTAATTCAAAATTTGGGCCTGCACATTTACCAGAGGTGACGCATGCACTTTTAAACTGGGATTCATCACCAATCAAAAATTGGCAGTGATCGAATAGGCACAATAACTAACAAACCCGAGGGAACAAGGCCCAATGTCCTGGTGCAGTTATGTGCCAGTCATGGACTCTGGGGGAGGGCTAATTGTAATGTAGGAGAGAGGGGCTGTGAGGGGGACATGGTGTTCTCTTCAGATCCTCCCATCTCCCATCCCCCATTCTGCCCTCCCACCCTCAACCTCCAGCCATCAGTGCTTTTACCTTTCTAAAAACCATTTAAGTCCATTAAGGGTCTTAGCTATTAAAATCAGGTGATGGAAGTTGGAAATTGATAGGCCATATTTTACCACTTTCGTGACTAAATTCTAGGCCTGAAACGTCAGCCTTCCTGCTCCTATGATGCTGCTTGGCCTGCTGTGTTCATCCAGCTCTACACTGTGTTATCTCAGATTCTCCAGCATCTGCAGTTCCTACTGTCTCTGATACAGATGTTCTATGTAAATGCCTTAGTCAACCCGTCTTTCTCACTAATGTTCCATCAGTGCACTTGAAGCAGCTCCCTAATGGAATGATTGAAATTAACACATTGCAGAAAGAAATCTGCGATCTTTCTTGATCAAACTTCAGTGCAGTAACAAAACCCTAAGTAATAAGTTAAAAATTAGTAACCAGTGCTTGTCCTTAAAATAATGCAGAAAGCATCTTTGAAAATGTGAGCTAAAATGAATAAAGCTGTGTAACAAAAACAGATAAAATCTTGGATACCCAACTGTGCAGTAAGGTAATGTTCACTGGTCCAGCATGATGCAGCTCCCATGAAAGATGCTGAATGTTTATTAATGCTATGGGTAAGATCTGGCATTTGGAAATCAGGCTTATGTCAAGGTGCTTGTTATACACTCTATCCAATAGATATATTAATGGGTGATAACATTTTGTCCTCCAACTTACTATTTCAGTATGAGGTGAAGCTTATTAATAATCACTATTTTGTGAGGATTGCTGGAACAATTTACTACTGCAAATTAACCATTGTTCTGTAGGTCACAGAAGCATAATAATTTTACGGTGTCTGTAAACCAGATGCCCACTGGGCAATCTTATGCACTTGGCACACTTCTTTCTGAAACCTTCTTAACTCTCATCTTTTATTCCTCTGTTTCTCTGTTCTTGCCTGTGTGCCACATGGCCTTTGTATTTTAAAGACTTTCTGTTAAAGACTTAATTCCAGGTCACATGAATTAGTGTTTCTTATTGTGCAAACACTAGAATTGATATTGTTACAATGACACAAGCTCTTAAAGGTCCTTTCTAAACATTTAAGGAAAAAATTCCCCAAACATTTTAAAGTAATTGCAAATTTCCTTAATTATTACTGCTTCTGGGTCAAAGGCCATCACACTAAGTAGGTGTTTAAAACACATCAAAGAATAATTGTGGAATATTTAAAATTTCAAAAGATTTCCTGAGTAATTTTATATTACAGGATTTATAACTCTCTGATAATTGGATTCTCAAAATGCACTGAGTTAGATAATTTGTAATTCCTTTTACTGCTCTGTGGAATTACTTGGCTACACTTTTAAAATCCTATTAGTAAAAAGAAATGTAAGTATGTCACAAAGTTGGTTGCTTTTTTCTGTCTTTGTAACTGCATTTAAACAAAAATAAACCTGAAGCTTACAAGTTGGTTTGGAATTCAGTTGAGTAGCAATAAAGCTACAAAGTTTACAGGAATGCTAAAGTTAATACACACAATGATAATTTTGATCCCACAATTGCTCAGTCTCTGTTTCATTGCTGGTATTTCAGTTTTATTCTCATTAATATGTTGTAAAATGCTACTAAAATGACTTAACACTTGTGTAAGTTATTTTTAATTTTACAGATAAAGACACAGGAAGGAAAATTCATGCTACAGCATGACATATAATGTTAAAGTGATTAATATTGAGATAAGTACTTTTTTTTCCTTTATTCATTCATGGGATGAGGGCGTTGCTGACTAGGCAGCATTTACTGCCCATCCCTAATTGCCCTGAAGGCAGTTTAGAGTCAACCACATTGCTGTGGGTGTGGAATCACATGTAGGCCAGACCAGGTAAGGATGGCAGTTTCCTTCCCTAAAGGACATTAGTGAACCGGATGGGTTTTTCCAACAATCGACAATGGATTCATGTCATCATTAGACTCTTAATTCCAGATATTTTACTGAATTCAAATTACACTATCTGTCATGGCAGGATTTGAACCCAGGTCCCCAGAAGGTTATGTGGGTCTCTGGATTAACAGTCCAGCGATAATACCACTACACCATCACCTCCCCTCTTACTTGATCCAAAAACTATGTGGAACCAAACAATGAAAGCAAAAAAATAAACAGACATTATGAGTTTTAGGAGCTTCCTTCCTAACAGTGCTGTGGGTGTACTTCACCAAATAGACTGCAGCAATTCAAGGAGGCAGCTCCTCTTCACCTTCCCAAGGGCAATTGGGGATGGACAGTAAATTCTCACCCAGTCTGCGATGCCCACATCTCTTGAATAAATGAAAAAAACTGAGTTATGAATGATACTTTTTGACTGCTGCTAATTTGCTGTCAAAATAGTTAGAAAGCCCTAATAGGTTGTCGAGTGAGGCAAGGGAGGAAATAGCAGGGGTG